ACCCAGGTCCCACTCCTGTACCAACACCACCTCCTACTCCTGGTCCCACTCCTGTACCAACACCACCTCCAAACCCAGGTCCCACTCCTGTACCAACACCACCTCCAAACCCAGGTCCCACTCCTGTACCAACACCCCCTCCTACTCCTGGTCCCACTCCTGTACCAACACCACCCCCTACACCACCTCCAAATCCTGGTCCCACTCCTGTTCCAACACCCCCTCCAGGAAGTCTTCCAGCTCCACCTCCTAAGGTGCCTCCTTGACCAGTGATGCCTCCTCCAGTTCCACCTCAAGAAAATGAACATATGTACAGAAATGCAAGGTCAGTTTTAATCTGTTGGATTATAGTAATCTATTGTGCAAGTTGTATTTAAGAAATAGTAAATATATTTTAGTCTCTTACCATATTTAGCCGCTGCTTGGCCAGGCTTTTTTGATTTTCCCGCTCCTGTATTTAAAAGATTACATACACTTTTTGCACGGTTATTCTTTTTTAAAGTTTGTCATTGTCAACTTATTCCAGATGCTGTGTTCAGAAAATGATTGATTCCTGTGTACCTGATTTAGGTGATATGAGAGGATAACCACGAAAAACACCAGGCAGCTGTTGTCCACGACCGTCTGTGATAAGAAACACAGGTTTTTGCTTACTAATCATTTAATAATACAAAGTTATAAAGGACATATCTGATAACATAGTTGTGGGCTTTAAACTTTGAGAGACTTACTAGCTGCTGCTCCTGGTCCTGTCCCACTTTGACCGAGTATTCCAGTCCCTATGAAAAATAAAGGAAATACCATTTGTTTTTGAGTGCAGCAACCATATTTTAACATAGAGAATGTTTACATGCCTGTTTGAGACCCAAGTCCAGATCCCGTGACTACTCCAGGAAGAACACCACGGCCTCCAAAACCTGACCAGAGGGAAATGAAAGATACTCAATGAGAGCATCATATTTTTTACTCTAATATTTTCTATTTTAATACATCACGTTGGTGATATGATCATTATTAACTCTCACCTTGACCTGGTACAAATCCACCTTGATAGAGTCCAGGCACCCCGATGCCTATGATACACAGTGCTCATGTTGGTAATAAGGTCAGTGTTAATGGATGATTGTAAACTCTAAACTGAAGTGATTCTCTTATTTATAAACTGGCTGTGATTTCAAGATATTTACCTGGAACTTGTTTTGATGCTTTAGCACCACTTTTTCCACCAGGTCCTCCCCCAGTTGTACTGGTCTGAGGCAGCATTGGAGCTGATGCAGGGAAAAAAACATAACTTTGATAGACAAGGTTTATATGTACAAAGTTTCAAGGTCAAACCTGAACACAGTAAATTATAAGAAATTATAAGTTTACAAGAAACTAGGCTCCATAAAAACCTTCACAATTTTCAACAAAAATACAATTTATAAATGTAATTTACCAAAAGTTTACAGTTTGTTTGCAGATGTAATAATTTAAAAATAAATGTTCTGATGTAAGATAGAAATAACATATTTATGTGTCGTCAAAACAGTTTTGGTGGGTGATATTTACCTCCTCCACCTGGAACAGCTCCACCAGGACCGAATCCTGTTCCTCCAGGTCCAAGTCCTGCACCACCTGGACCAAACCCTGTTCCACCAGAGCCAAAGCCAGTACCACCAGGACCAAATCCTGTACCACCAGGACCAAATCCTGTACCACCAGGCACAAGCCCAGTTCCACCAGGCCTGACTCCTGTACCACCGGGACCAAATCCAGTACCACCGGGACCAAATCCTGTTCCCCCAGGACCAATCCCTGCACCACCAGGCCCAACCCCAGTTCCACCAGGTCTAACTCCTGTACCACCAGGACCAAAYCCTGTACCTCCAGGRCCAAATCCTGTCCCACCAGGACCAAATCCTGTTCCCCCAGGACCAATCCCTGCACCACYAGGACCARCCCCAGTTCCACCAGGACCAAAACCATTTGCCCCAGGCCCAACCCCAGTTCCACCAGGTCTGACTCCAGCACCACCAGGGCCAAAACCAGTTCCTCCAAGTGATGTTCCAACACCACCTAAGGTAAGAAAAARCAAATTTCAACCAGCTTTTAGCACAAAAGACATGTCAATAACTGATAAATAAATATACCTGTTTTGGGGGGTTTGTTTCCATAATATCCTCCATAGCCACCTACATAAGAGAAAGMATTTGACTTCTTAAAGTCCAGGAAATCTATTTGATTACCTTCATTACAAAGTATTTGTGCCACACACTATTTGTGTACATCATATTGTGACTAGCAGATTCAGATGCTAATTTATAATAACCATGACTGAACTATAATAGAAATAAAAGAGTGTCAACATCCAAGGGAATGAATATTTTTAATGGCAAATAAACCCACTGACCTCCAGGGGTGTAACCTGTTCCAGGTCCCAGACCTGCACCAGTACYAGGACCTCCTGCACCAAAGCCTCCAGTTCCTAGTGAAGAGAAGAACTTTGTGTTCTTTTGAATACTTACAAAARTACAGTAAACAAAATCATGCATTTATTCCTTTTTTGTGTGTTTGCATGAGAAAACTACTGGATATCTATTTTTTTTTTTGTTCAAATGTGAATAAACTACAAGCAACTTTAGCTTTTTGTGATCAGTTGCACAAGTTTGTTTTGTGGATTTTGGAAATCCAAGTTCAGTTTCTATAAAAGCATGTTTGCATTGCTTGTTCATCTAAACAAGGATGTTCACAAACTGGCTTGTTACTGTGTGGTTTGGAAAATAATATTAAGGGCTAAGGTGGCCAGATGTTTTTACAGTATTGTGTTTTCTGTGCTAACACTGACCTCATTTTTTGCTATTGTTAGTAAATGTGCAGAGTTGTAAAGTAACTAACAAATACTTTGTTACTGTACTTTAGTAGAATTTTTGGGTATCTATACTTTACTTGAGTAACTTATTTTCAGCCTACTTTTTACTTCTACTTCTTACGTTTTCACACAATTATCTGTACTTTCTACTCTTTACATTTTTAAAAAAGACAAGAAGTAGAAAGTCGTTCTTTTATTTCATTTTTGCTTGTTTTCATTCCAGCTTGTTATTGTAAAAAATAAATACCATCCATATAAACTGTGCCTCCTAGATAGAGTGAATTTTATTGTGGTTGAATGAGAAGTATAAATATATAAAACTCTGATACAGTATTAGTTTGTACACAAACAAATCATGACACACACCAGCAGGACATAATCATTAAAATAAAAGGACTGTACTTAATAAGTATTTGTAT